CTTTAGCCTTTCTTCTTCTTGTACACAATGTGAAATGAGTTCATTAAGAGACCATTTATCCTTATGACAGCTTGTAAGATACCTTAAACCGATTAAACGTTACGGAAGAGAAATCAACACCAAATGAATGAGCAAGTCTTCTGAGAGTTTGAGCTTTAGTGCCTTGAGTTTAAAAACAATATTAGACATGCTCATAATGTACTCCCCGATATTTCCTTTGCCTCGATATTTCATGGAGATCAAGTTCGAAGAAGAGTGCTTGCCTCCGCCTTATCACTTTTTGCAAAGCGCCGCTCAATTTCAAGAAGGAACTCGTTTGACACTTGTGATGTTTTCGTAAACAAGTGCCCCTAAACACCTCCAAGATGTCGCGCTTAATGATCATTAGACTCATGCGATTTGAGCGATCCCACTTCTCATAATCTCTTTTCCGTTCGTAGGTACTTGAATCCGTAGGAACAGGGGTTACTCGATCCTGAACGCAAATTCCATATCCATGCAACCAAGAATAATATCAATGTTCTCTTTCTAGTCCTTAAAATTTGTTCCATTGAGGACCTGAACAAAATTTAAATTGCGGATACGTAAGCAATTGTAGCTGAATTAAGAACAAAAGAAATAAATTAATTATGCTCAATTATAAAATTAAATAATTATAAATAAAATATATATTCAAATAATGGTTTAACCCATCTCAATACACCCAATGCACCATCAATATCAAGTCTTTGGACAGTAATATTAACTGCTAGAGGTATCTTGTTGTAATAATCAAACATTGACAATAAAGCACGTCCAACAACAAACCAGTCTTTGGATTGATTTATCATCGACAAAGCAAATCCTTATAATTATCACATGTTTATCATTACAAGTGTGTATGTAATTCGACCAAATATTAATCTTCCTTTGGGCTGACTAATACTCGCATGAATATACACAAACACTAACATTCAATATTTTTTACGAACTACCCAATTCAAGAAATGTTACTTTGGTAACTTCTTGACTCAATTTGTTCACAAAAATATTAAACTACCAAAAAAGTAATATTTTATTTATATAACAAAACCAAATTTATAATTCTAAAGAAGGAAAAAAATTATAATTTCGTATATGCACTTTAAGTTGGATTGTTTTGAAATTTTTAATTTATATATATATATATATATATATATATATATATATATATATATATATATATATATATATATATATATATATACAACGACATTCACAGGCGTGAACCATCGCCACTGCAGAATGCATCATGGGCCGAAGACGATCTCATGGGTTAAGGGCCCGATTGTTAGTAATTAACTGCCATCTAGGGTTTTAAACTAAACCCTTTAATTGATATTCCTTACGCTAACTCTCTCTAAGGACCTGTGCAACATAATTTCCCTCCATGAAGACATTCTTACCTCACATTTTTTTTTTAATTATATGGGTGAATTAGAATGCACGTGACCAATTGAAACAGACGCATTCTTATTTATAATTTTAAATAAAAATATTAAGATTCTGAATATGTCTAAATTCCTCTCAGAAAATGCAGTGGCACGCTTCTCTGTTTTAGAATCCTCCTTCACCTTAATTTGCTTGAACCAGGCATCAACCAGAGAAGCGTTTTTCCGAGTTTTCGCCCTTCCCATTTTTCTGAGGGACTCGCCAGGGCCAGAGAATGACTTCTCCTTTGTAAAACTTTGATTCTGGAGCATAACTTGGAATCCTCTGAGCTCTAATTGTGGGAATCGTAGTATTTACTTATTTTGGGAATCACAGTATTTCCCCTGTGTCCTAGAACCACATTTCGCTGAGGACAATCACCAATATGCTTGAGGCTTAACCTGGAACATGCAAAGGGAATTTTGGCTTCTCTGAGATGAAAACTCACGACACCAAACACGTGCGTTCCCGCGATTGCAGTCATTATTATTGCCCGTGAAGTACCAGGTTCGCATACGAAGACGTCGCGCGCCCCTGCCACGTGAACATCTCCACCAGCACCAGATGCGCAACGCCATTAGTGGTGAGTGGTGGCGGCGGAGAGAAGGAGTGAAGAATTATGAGTTTAGGTCTAAATTGAAATTTTAGGGTTTTGGTAAATCCCAAAAAATGTTGACGAGTAAACCCAGAAATGTTGATTTTCTGATAGTCGCAACGCCAGAAAGATGATTTCTCCAAACCTTTGACATTCTGAATGTAGTCATACACAGAGACACACAAACCACAACTCCAAAAAAAATATTGAGGATCTTACCTCCAAAATGGAATTTAGGTTTATGAAAATTGGAGATTATTTTTCAATTAGGGTTCTTGATGAGAAATTGAATTTTGTTAAAACCCAGCTACTCCCTTCCCCAGCCACACCGGAGGCGCGTTGTGCGACCTTCTCTAATTCTTCGTGTTGAGCCAATAGTTGTGCCGTCTCCGGATAATGCCACACGTGGAACAGAGAATTGGGTTTTAAGAAACCCGGATTCTCAATTTTGGGGTTTTTAATTAGGGATTTAGGGTTACGTAAATTAATCTAAATTCTTAAATATTTCCTAAGACAAACATGAATCAAGTATGAGAGGCTCTGATACCACTTGTTAGGTAAACTGATAATTAAATATGATCTTCAATCTAACAATCAAATATAAAGTAATCTCATACTCATAAACATGTTGTAAACTAAATGCGAAAGCGTGCACTGAATTAGTCATAACGATGATGTCCCTTTTAGAGTACTTATTGATCTTATGGTCTTCCACCTAGAGAGCACTCGTATTTCTCTCTGGATTTTCTCTCTGATGGGGATAGAAAGAAAAGAACTGGATCTAAACTTACGTTCGCTATGTGTACTCTCGAAGGGGACCATGACCCTTTAAATAACCGGAATTAGGTTAATTACTTAAGTTTTAAGTATTTCCAATTTGGCCCTCATCAAATTAGAAATTACTCTATAGTCTCTACACAATTTTATTTTCATGACATATGCCTTTAACCAAAACTTTAATTTATTCGGATCACTTTATTATTTGGCTTAATAAATAATGACTCTAACACATTTAAATTATGTATCATATATATACATTTAAAATATGTATCATATATATACAAAGAAATAATGAGAAATGAGTTTTTAAAATCAATAGAGAATGTTAAAATTAGAATGTAAAATAAAAAATTGAATAAAGTTATTAATCCAGAGAAGAAAGAAAAGGAAGAATCAGATAAAGGAAACAAGTGAAAAATGAGTATTTAAAATTTATGGGAAGGTATAACAATGGAAAGAAGATTAAAGAATTAAAGAATTGAGAGAATATTGTTATTGAAAGGGAGTTGCAAAGGATTAAGAGAAATGTGGGACTATTATAACTCCATGATGTGATAGGGTAGTTACAAATATTACACAGGATAATGGAACTACTCAAAAAAGGAGGAAAAAAATGGTTGATAGGAAATGAAATTATTTTATTTTTTATTTTTAGTAGTTACAAATAATAATAATAATAATATAAATAGGGGCAAATAAGTGAAGAAAATGGTAATGATAAAATGTATTAAGATACTTATATTCTGAAAAACGTTACAAACATAGAAAAAACTATTTTAATGAAGTTATTTGCATTTTGGGTCATCATTTTCATTGATTTCTTGCATCAGTTTTTCTTTTATCCTTAATAATTTAGATTTTTCTAGTAACTTACTCTTTTTTGCAATTTAAGTTTCTCGTCATGTATATTTTTAATCATTTATCTTTCTAGCAATTTACCTTTTCTTGTTATTTATTTTTTCGCACTTTAAATTATCAACTCTTTGTGATTTTCCATTAATTAATGAAATCTTATTGAATATGTTGGAACTGATAGTGAGAGTTTGAATTTATAATCAAAAGGAATCTATAAGTATTTTCATGATATTGATATATGAAAGATCCGTAATTAAGGTTGACTTCATATTAATGATTATATAAAACATTAGTCAACATGATTTCATTTTGAGTTTAACGAACAAGATTTTCTAAATTAAAAAAGTATTCTCTTGTTAGTGTAAACAAAAAGAATCCATAAGTAATAAAGTGGTTTATTTTGAAGAATTGATTTATCTTCAAAAAGTGAGACACCTAAAAAATTGGACAATTGAATGTTGAAATTGTGAAATCAAAATAATATACATTAAACATTATAAATGTAATAACTATAAGTTACATTGAACATTATAAATATAATTCCTATAAATTATATTGAATGTTATAAATATAAAATATATTAAATAATGAAATATGGATAATAATTAAAATAAAATTAAAATACAATAAAATAATAATTATTTAAAATTGACATAACTTTTTCAATTTTATATCAGTTTTTTAATTTAATTAAAATCTAATTATTTAAAAATTAAGAATCGAGATCTACACCGGATTTTTCAAATGGTGACAAAAACCGTACAAGAAAAAGGCCTTGGTAGATTCGCTTACGTGACATGTGCTGGATTAATTAACTGTATATGATAGTTAGCCTTTGTTTGTCAGTCATAACTATGTCAGTAAGGTAAAAATTTGTTGTCGAATTTTGTATTCCTTCTTTCTTCTCTACACTCAAATCTCTCTTTCATTAAACGTAAAAATGGATATAGTTGAATTTAGTAGTAAAACAAAACTGATTTAAATAAAATATACATCACTTTGCACATAACATTCGGCGATTCACCAAAGTTGAAAATAACGTAAGATTAAAATGCACGGACATATATTACAGGATTCAGATAACCAATTGCTATCAAACAATTAATAACCTAACTTGAGTTCTTTGGACAAGATTCCCAGTCTGAAACTTGGACACTGTCATTAGTATTTAAAAGGTTTTCAGATGAACCCTTTATCAGAAGATGGAACAACATATTGTTATTTGACATGCAGAAAAACTGCAAGAAGGAAACACAGCAGGTCTCAGCTCCAAACCTTCCAAAGACACTGCATGAATTGATCACAAGTGAAACTGCTAAGCTCAAGATGTTTGTTTAACCGGTCTGTTGAGATTGGATTCCCAGTTCAAGTTCCTGTTAAGGAAAACATGGAAAATGATCAGTCACACAGAGCACCAACGTCATTCAAAAAGTTTACCTCATGCATATTTCTTATTACATTCATTCTTCCTTTCTTTTTTCCCAGGTAGAGCAAGGTTCACCTTAGAAATAGACAAACAAGAAAGACTTTATCGTGAAGCCTTCTTGTTCCTAGCTTTCTCCCATCGGAACATACAATCTAAATATTAAACCTCACTTTTAATCACAAAGCAATATTCACAGCTGCATCATCAGTGACAATGCTATTATATTTATACCTTCTGGATAGGATGGGATGGAGATTGCAAACTAAGTTGGCTACATTCCATATTTGCAAGTACCTGAACCACAGTCTTCAGATGCGGAACACTGCAAATTCATAATCCACATCAGCCACAATCAAAACAAAACCCACACAATGCTCAGTATTTCACACCAAATCTTGATGCACTAAAAAGAACGGTGCTAGGCAACAAAACAACATCTTCAAAATGCATAATTAGCACTTAGCAGTTTAGCTCAAGGTTTCAGCTCAAAACACATCATATGCATCCTACGTCCAAAAATATATGACAAAATTAGAGTTACAACATGTTCAATTAGACAAGAGAAGGTGCAGACTTTTGTAACCCAATTTCCATATGTGCATCTAGAGATGATATCACCCTAGGCAACTGCTCCAAAACCTGTGCAACAAAAAACAGAAAGCAACCATCATTACACACTTGTTCTTGTTCACATTGATGAGTCATCTCATCCACAAGACTACAACCCTAAATCAGATAAATACCTGCTCTGTATTCTTAATGGTGGGAACCTTCGCCAAAAGGTTCTTAGGAAGCTTAACCAATTGAGCCTGCAAATGATAAAAAGGGGTTAAAAATCAGAGTTTAATTTGATACACGGCAAAACTAAAGATTTTAGTCAACAGTGCACAGATGTTTACTGTCAATTAGAAATTGTTCCATGACCTTTTGAAGGAACTTAAATATTCATGCAAAGATAATTTTAAGATTTTCATTGTCACTCAATCACACATTACCTATGTTCGACTTTCAAAGAAGTTACTCAAGTCAAATTTAACATATAAATAAGATGATACACGATTGCATAACAGTGTTAAAAACTTGTAGGGTGTAAATAATCATTTAGGTCTCTAAATGTTTAAACCGATGAATTTAGTCGCTGAAAAAACTAAAACTCTTTGTATAAAAAATGTTGCAATTGCATCATACTGTAATTGGTCCCTGATTTAGTATCAAATTGGTCTTTGAAAAATAACTCTGTATTAAATCGGTCCTTAACTATTACAGCTTAATAACAAAAATATCTCACAAAACTTGAATACAAGCCTTCATTGCGACTCTTTTTTACACAGATAATAAATCCGAATTGTCTTCTATCATGAACAAAATAGACACAAATTTATACATTCAACTGTCAAAATGATAATTAATCACCGTAATTAAATTCTTATTACATAATTCAACAATTTTCAATTATATGCAATTATACACTTCCACTCTACTCTCATTAAATTCAAAACCAAAACCCTAACATCAAACAACAACATGCACAAAATCAACACTTGTTTCACATCAAATTTTCGTTATTGAAAGCAAAGTTTTGTTTTTAATTTTTTAATTTTTGAAATTTCAATGAATTGGCAGTGTTGATGTGGTACCTGGGTAGGAGAAGACTGCTGCATAAGGTGGAGGAGGTTGGCGGTAGACTGCAGCGCCTGCGAGATTTGCTCGGCCACCGTAGTCTTCGTCGTCCCTCCACCGCCGACAGGGTCGGGCCCCGCCATCCTTCGCCCGAACAATATTTGACCGTTTGTTGTATTCCCGCGACTCATTTGTCGACCCTATACTGATCTATAATTTAGGTTTTTACTGATCAGATCAGAATTACTGTTGTTACTTTCCGTCCTGTGAGATGACCATTCGATTCTGTAAAAAAAGAAGAAGAAAGAAGCAAATAAAAACTACAGCTTACCTCATCAAATTGATGCAAATGCTACAAAAGTCCACAAATTACTGTACCCAAAAACAGAATACCTAATTTGTAAGTCCAGAAAATATACCTTTAATAAATCAAGAATGGAATGTTGATGACAATTGTTCAATATGATTTTCTAAAAGAATACATAAGGAATTTTATCTAACGCATCATGACTTACAAACTACTTCACTGACATGGATTTATACTTCAATCAGTAGAATATTTTTTTCCCTTACAACTTCAATATGATTTGAAGTTGAAAGCGAAGAAGTGTATTCGTCAAAGCAATGATTCCGACCCAAACAAATACAACAGGGCTCCATATAGCCACAATTGCACCAGCATCATAGCTGAAGCACAGTCCAGCCATTGTCATACACAATGACTAATTTGTTATGGGACCAAAACAATTAGAAATGCACCATACCTTTTGGAAAATGTTCATGCCATTCAGACTTCTTTACACCAATTTTCATAGTCTGTCTGCTAGGAGCTATGAATGGTTTTAACTTTTATCTTCATCTATTGACATTGCATTGGCCACTAAGAGTAAGCTGCTAAATAATGAAACCAAATTAATGTAGCCCCATAATCAATGTATGTCATTACTACTTTTTTTCATAAATAATACTATTCTTAAAAATATTTTCCAAAATAGTACATCTGGAACATTATTTACACAATTAACACTCTTTACGTATTAAAATAATCGATTATTTTATATTATGATCGATTATTTCGTGCAAGATCAACTCTCGCTCAAGTGAAGAAATCCTTCGCTTGAGCGAGGAGATCTCGTAACAAAAGGGTAATCTCGGGTCAATTCTCGCTCAAGCGACGGTTATTTTCGCTTGAGCGAAAAGTGATTAAAATATGTGGTGACCCAAGTTGCGTTATGTGCCTAACTGCGTTGGACGTTTAGCTCTGTGGTCAATTCTCGCTCAAGCGAGACATCTATCGCTTGAGCGAAGAAATTTATAATCGATTATAATTTGAACTAATCAATCATAATTTTAAAATAATCGAATATACAAAATTATGATTGATTATTTCTCTCTCGCTCAAGCGAAGAAACCCTTCGCTAAGCGAGGATAAGCTGTAACAAATGAGTAATCTCGGGTCAATTCTCGCTCAAGCGACGGGTACTTTCGCTTGAGCGAGAAGTGATTGAAATATGTGGTGACCCAAGTTGCGTTATGTGGCTAACTGCGTTGGATGTTTAGCCTATGTCAATTCTCGCTCAAGCGAGGGGTTACTTCGCTCGAGCGAGAATTGATTGAGTAACTGCGTTGGACCGTAGTCAATTTTTGCCCAAGCGAGACATCCATCGCTTGAGCGAAAGAGTTTATAATTAATTATAATTTGAGCTAATCGATCATAATTTTAAAATAATCGAATATACAAAATTATGATCGATTACTTCTCTTTCGCTCAAGCGAAGAAACCCTTCGCTTGAGCGAGGAGACCTGTAACAAATGAGTAATCTCAGGTCAATTCTCGCTCAAGCGACGGGTACTTTCGCTTGAGCGAGAAGTGATTCAAATATGTGGTGACCCAAGTTGCATTATGTGGCTAACTGTGTTGGGCGTTTAGCCTGTGGTCAATTCTCGCTCAAGCGAGAAACCCATCGCTTGAGCGAGGAAACCTGCAACTATTTACAATGCTGAGTCACCCACCCAAGTCAGGATTCCCATGTCTTTCTGATGCACACAAGTAAGGAATCCAATGCTGAGTCACCCACCCAAGTTAGGATTCCAATCTTGGATTCCCTGCATTGGGTTAGACAAAAACAGAAGAATCCAAACATATTTAAAGAGATGTTGACCCACCCACTTTGCTTGGGTCTTGTGTGCGTCAGAAACCATGTGAGAGAACATTAGATTCAAACCAATGGACTTCATTATAAATAGACCACTTTCATTCTTTGAAGTTCTCACATTGCACACTCCTAAATCTCTGAAGCTCTTTGCATTGTTTCTTCTTCTTACCTTTAGTCTTCTTTGTGTTCCACACTCCTAAAATGGGTGTAGTGTCTACTATTGTCCACTATGATGGTTTCATGAACCCAGTCCCATGGAGGGAGTTACCTTCAATACTGGGAGTGCAAAACTTGTTCCTTTAAAGAGAGGAATTTCTCTACAAAGGTTGAAGAAGTTGATCCACAAGAAATTGGAGAAAGAACCCCACGAAAATGTAGCAACCATCCATTTTCGCTGCCCAACTAGACTCGGAGTTGGGATCAACAACTTCATTGCTATTGAGTTGAAAGATGATGACGATGTGGAGGCCATGTTCGATGTTCATGATTCAAACTCAAGTCTATGTGGTATTGAAATTTTTGTTTCATTTAAAACTTCTTCTTCTTCATACCCCAACACACACTCACCAGAAATTTCACCCTCTCCCTACCAAGCTTTCCCAAACACTGACCCAGAAATACCCACACATAATGACTATATCCCTTTTACCCAACTTCTAAGTGGGCCTTCCACCAACATCAACGAAGAACTACCCACACAAGAGAACGAAATTGTTGGTCTTCCAATTGAAGTCATTGATCCTTTTAGTGAGGATGAAGACGAAGATGAAATTCTCAGCCAACACCAAGATGATTCAGAGGACGAACAACCACATATCCCTACACATGCACAAAACTTCATGGAACCATACAACCCACCACAACCTTTTCTTAACTTTGAAAGTCACATTCAACAACAAGACCCAGAGTATGGTCATGCGTTGGACAGAGAGTCTTTTGTTTCTCCGGTAGGAACTCTATTTCTTGGACAACATTTCATTACAAAAGAACAAGTTCAAGATGCCATCAACCGCTTTCACATTGTCAATCACTACACATACAAGGTGAAAATTTCAAACCAAAGTAGATATGTTGTTGAATGTGTTGATAACCAATGCAATTGGAGATGTCGAGCAATATTGCGAACAAGAGAGCAATATTGGGAGATTATGAAGCTTGAAGGGCACCATACATGCGTTTCACCATTAATCAGCCAAGACCACAACAAGTTGGGATATAAAATGATTTCCCAAACAATTGGTCAAATAATTTATGCTAATTCGTCAACACCAATCTCCACAATCATAGCCCACATCCAATTAACAACGGGTTACACTATAACATACAGGAAGGCCTGGTTGGCCAAACAAAAGGCAGTGGAGATCAACTATGGCAATTGGGAGGATTCATATAAGAAGTTGCCTTGTTTGTTACAAGCCATGCAACAATTTGTTCCCGGATTCATCTACAAACTGCAATCACAACCAGCTTACCAAGGTGAAGTCCTTCAACAAAATTCAAATATTTTTAAACGTGTGTTTTGGTCGTTTAGACCATGCATAGATGGATTTGTTCACTGCAAGCCCATTGTTCAAGTGAACGGATTGTATGAAAAATATAGAGGTACCTTGTTGGTTGTAGTAGCACAAGATGGCCGCAACAACATCCTCCCCATTGCGTTTGCAGTGGTTGAAGGTGAAACAAGTGATGCCTGGCTTTTTTTCTTAAAAAACCTTCAAAGATATGTCACACCCCAGCAAGGATTATGCCTCATATCAGACCGACATGAATCCATTAGAAGTGCATACATGAGAAATGGAAGCGGATGGATAGAAAATAATTCAGTGCATGTCTACTGCATTAGACACATTGCATAAAATTTTATGAGACGTTTCAAAAACACCGCACTAAGGAAAGATGTTGTAAATATGGGTAATTCCTTTGCTTCAAATTTGTTACAATTTATTCATTATTTAATTGTTGCTAATAAATATTTATATTAACTATGTTTTTTTAATATTGTTGTAGCGTATGGGATGACTGAACCACGATTCTACTATTATTACAACATCTTGAGGCAATGTGACATAAAAGCAGCTAATTGGTTGGATGAGATACCTAGAGAAAAATGGGCACTTGCATGGGACAATGGACGACATTGGGGCCACATGACGCCCAACATAGCAGAGTCTATCAACTCTGTTTTAAAAAAAACAAGAAATCTACCTATTTGCTCCATGGTCAACGCAACGTACGCCCGCTGCAACAAATTTTTCATTGAAAGAGGGAGGCAGATAGATGCCATGATCAATGCTGGTCATGTATACTCTAAAATTTTGGTCACAAATTTAGAGGAAGCACAAACACAAGCAAACACGCATAGGGTCATAACTTTTGACAGGTCTACCACAAAATTTGTAGTAGAAGAAACACAAAACCCACATGAAGTTCGACCAGCAGGGAAGTTTGCAGTTCGCCTTGATGAGTTATGGTGTGACTGTGTGAAATTCCAAAAATTTCACATGCCTTGTTCACATGTTCTTGCTGCATGCAAGCATGCATATCATGACTTCAAAAACTATATTCGTTCAGTGTATACCTTACAACAAGTTTCAAAGGTATACGGAACACAATTTGGGTTATTGCAAAATGAAGAATATTGGCCAACATACACAGGACCTTCTTTGTGTGCAAATCCAGAAATGAAAAGAACTTCAAAGGGCCGACCAAAATCAAGTCGTATAAGAACTGAGATGGACATTACAAAAAATCAAAGTAGGATTAAAAAATGTTCATATTGTCATACCCCTGGTCATAGCAGAAGAACATGTCCCAATGTTGCACGTGCATCTACTTCTCAAAATTAGATTGTGTTAGTTAAGAAATGTCTCAATGTATGAAACTTAGGAGTTTTTCAATTAATTGAAAGTGATGAAGATCTTATTGAATTATTTGATAAAACGAAGATCTTGTGGATTTGATGAAGTCAAAGGTTAATCTGATGAAGTCAAAGATTATTTAAGGAACTTTTTGCTAACTGTTTTAATCGATTAAAA